GAATACTACCATCTCCTTTCCTTATTTAGCAGTGCGCATACTTCTTGCTTACTCAATCTACAGTAACGGATCTCTATTGTTGAATGTTAGCCCACCTAAAGAAGGAACATTGAAATCCTTAGCATCAATTCGTTTCATCTCCATGACTTGGGTTGTAGCAGGACATGTTTTAATGCAGGACGCATCCAGCGGTTGACGCTTTCATTTCTGTATTTCTACAAAGTAGCTGTTCAATTATGTACAATTGTAGATACTTTTGCACCTGTGCTAAATTTGTGGAACCCTCTACTATCAACCACAATTTTAAATGCGTTTTTCTCAGTGGATACATTCTTTATCCTATCTGGTATTCTTGTATCCTACATATTCTTCAAATCTAAACCTACGGCTAGATATGTCAAAAACCCGCTTGTTTGGGTAATGTTCTATGTCCATCGTTACGTCAGGTGAGTTAATGACACGAGTTCATGTTGCAGTGAGAATGCGACCAAAAAAGTGTCTGGCCAAGGCGAAACCAAGGTGGAAGTAATCATCTTTACAAATTTTTTCAATTGTTGATATTTTTGAGAGAATTTCAAACAGATAGAGGTTTCAGCAACTATTTTTTTGTTTGAAGGGCATCAGCTTTTCGCTTCAAGCCCTCTTTCTGTGACGCGGGGAAGAAGTTTGAAATTGGCTATACATGATTTCTTAGTTGAACTTGTTTTTATTTTAATAAGCCTTTCACTATAGTAATAGAGTACTGGATTAACAGGAGTATTGCAACCGTTGAATTCTTCAATAATAAATAAATTGTCCGGGGTTTGACGCACTTATTGATACCATGTCCTTTTGGAAGTTGTCTCGCCTCTTTGCGAGACAAATACTTGCACAGTTGGCTTGATAAAACAGCTGAAAAAAAAGACACAGTTTTTAAATCCCGTGTAATAATTTGCCACAATTATGACGAGTGGTTTCTGGCGCCATTAAAAGCAAGTTACAAAATTTCCAAGTACGAAAAATTCTAAATTTATTCTAGTAACTTTAAAAAAATTCCAAATTTGTATCTGTTGCGACCACTAGGATAGTATAGATCTGTAGGAGTACGGAATATGGTATCATTCAAAAACAAGAAAGGACTAATTTTGTAAATCTCATATTTAGACTTACTCCTCCTATAATGGTTTTCATTGGATTTTATGTAATTATGGATCCTTTTGTAAGTGGACCGTGGGCTAAATCTTTAATGCCTTTATTCGATATGCCTCATGGTACGTGTAAAAAATACTGGTGGCGTAATCTGCTTTACATAAACAACTTTTTCAAATTCGAGGAGGTAAGCTTATCTCAGCAAATCGATTAGAAAAAAAGGAAGTGCAAATTTTCAGATATGTTATATAATAACATGGTATCTTTCCGTTGATACACAGCTTTATTTTGTCGCTCCAGTCTTCCTTATCCTACTTTCTATTGCTCCAATTGCTGGTAAATATTCACTCAATAATAACAATAAGTGAGGAATTTTTTTGATATTTCAGGATTTTTGCTTATCTTCGCATGTGTTGCGGCCAGTGTTGGTATAGTATATGCCATTACAATACAAAAA